CAGGAATCTTGGCTGGTTGATTAGCTTTACCCCACAAATCCATGAACAGCAATGAGAGAACAGACATGACGAAGCTTTGTAACTGGAAACTGCCGTATGTCACCACTGTCACTGTCTTTATTATTTCCAAATAAGTGACATTCGTAGATAATGAATTTCCTTTTGTTTCAAGTGTCATTGTTGTGGAAGCAATGCCTTACCTTACGTAGGCCAAGTGGGGAGTGATTTCGTCATATTCGTGTCACCCTCAGGAATCAGTGTCTTTGAGGGAGATGAGCATGGTTTGAGTTCAGGAAGTTGGGCTACTGCACAGGCCAGCTCTTGGAGGACCAAGACCCTCATGGACCTCTCCTGATGAAGGAGCTGGGGGTGGGGGCTGCCAGTGTGTTCACCGTGTGACTAACCACTCTCTGTCTCTTCTTGCTCCAGTGACTGCCTGGCCCTGCTGCAGGTCCGCGCCATCCTGCGCCACCTGGGGCTTGAGAGCACCTGTGATGACAGCATCATCGTCAAGGAAGTGTGCACGGTGGTGGCGCGGCGGGCGGCCCAGCTCTGCGGTGCAGGCATGGCTGCTGTGGTGGACAAGATACGAGAAAACCGTGGGCTGGACACCCTCAAAGTGACAGTGGGTGTGGATGGGACCCTCTTCAAGCTACACCCTCAGTGAGTGCCTGACCCAATTCTTTCTTCTTACTCTCTGTCTCTTCTTTCTGTCCTTCTCTTTTTCTCTTTCTCTCTGTCTTGTACTTTATTGGGAATTACTAGCCATTTCAAAATGTGTATATAATGTACATAGCACAGTTTAAAGGCCAAAAGTAGGCCTAAGTTTCACCTTCCAGTATTGGAAACCCCAATGAGTCCCTCCAGAATTGCACCTTCATGCTCCCTTCCCAGGGGTCCGTGCTGTGTAGAATCAGCCCTTGCATATTCCTTTCTTTCTCCTCATGTCTAGGTATGTATCTCTCTCATACTGTTTAGTTTTACTCACTTGGGACTTGCCATAAATGGAGTCCTAAAGCATCTCCTCTGTGACTGGTTTTTCTCACATCACATTTCTGTTTCCAAATGCGGCGACGTCAAAGTAGGCAGTTACGGTTCATTAACTTTCAGGGTGGTACCGCACCCCTTTGTCACGCACACAATACCGTAGTTTATTTCACTGTTTTGTGATATTCAGGTTATTTCTGGATTCTGACTGTTTTAAACAGTGCTGCTGTGACTGCTGTAGTCACTGTGCTAGAACACTGGAGCCAGGGTTTTTATTATTTTTCTACAGCCTGGAGCAGGGATTAGCAAATTCAGACACCATGTCTCATTGGAATGCACCGTCCCCATTAGTCCATGTATTGACTGGCTGCTCTGTGATCAGTAGTCACAACGACCATGCAGCCCATAAACCAGAGATGTTTACTACCTGGTCCTTTATGAATGTTGGCTGCCACCTCAGTCTGGAAGGAGAGTTGACCCTTGACCAACATAGGACTTAGGCGCCGACCTCCCATGCAGGAGAAAACGAGCATTAACTTAACTGCTGTAGAATGGAAGCCCTACCCATAATACAATTAACACATATCTTGTAAGTTGTATGTATTATATACTGTATTCCTACCACAAAGTAAGAGAGAGGACTAGGTTGTTAAGGAAAGCATAAGAAAGAGAAAATGCAGTATTTATTTAGAAAATTGATAGTACGTATTGAAAAAGATTTGCTTGTATGTAAGTGGACCTGTGTTTTTCAAGGGTTAACTATAATAAACTTCTTTTAAAAAACTGTTTTCCCTTCTCTCTCTGTGTGTGGCTTCTCTTTTATCCCCTCTTATCATCATTTCTCTTCTCTAATCTTCATTTATATCTGTTTTGAGTCATTTTTTTCTTTTGGGAGTTGGAAAGTGCCCTATGCCCTCTCCTTTGGAAACTATTCAGCAGAAGTTGAAAGAGTAGGTCAGTGCCCTGGCCCAGGTAGGCACAGGCTGGGATGGAGCTTGGAGCTTCCTTGGTTGAGCTGCTACCTGTTCTCATCAGGTTTATTTAAAGAGCTAAGAGACTCTCCCAGAGTTAGCAAAAAGAGGAATGTAGAAGACCTGGGCCTCTTTTCTTGATGTGAAAATAGCAGCTTTGGTTCCGTATGAGGGCCGGGAGAGGGGCGGATGCCCAGCCAGCAGCCCTGGGAGGTGGTATCCTCAGCTTTGCAGATGGGGAGGGCATCCTGACCCTGCTGAGCTGGGGAGAATGTTGACTATCTCTTACTCTAGTCTCATGAGGAAGGATCTGTGTCACTGGACCACCCTCACGATAACCCTAAAGCTGCCCTTGTTGCCTTCAGTGGCATTTTGGAGTACATGCGGGTTGGCTATGAGGCAACATCCTTGGGAAATATAAACTCATACCTTCCTAAACTCCCCTCCAGAATTTCAGATATTTGTCCTAGAGAGGAGTCCTAGCTCCCCCAAGTTCCATGTGTGACGTAGAACTTGGACGTATGGCTAGCATCCTCCAACCCTGGTTTCTGGATCCTGATATATAGTTTGTGTTGAATACATGGTAGCTGTCATTCTTTTCCTCATCTCAGTCATTCCTGGGTTTCCAGCATCACTTCCTAAGGTCTCCTCTCTGAACACACAAGTCAGCCATGACTAAGGTACTTTTTCTTGTGTCTTCTTCCCTTCTCTTCCAGCTTTGCCAAGGTCATGCGTGAGACAGTGAAGGACCTGGCTCCAAAATGTGACGTATCTTTCCTGGCATCAGAGGACGGCAGTGGAAAAGGAGCTGCTCTCATTACTGCTGTCGCCTGCCGCATCCGTGAGGCTGGACAGAGATAGAACCCCTGAAATTGAAAAGACTTCCTATCGTTCCCCTCTTTCTTGTTTTAAATTATAAAACGTTATCCCCTTGCATCAGAGACAGACACTGGCTTTTCTGCAACAAAGAGGACCCTGTTGGACTGGGTTTTGTCTCCATATAGACTCATGTAGAGTTTGGTGGCCAAGTCTTGGCCCTGCTGAGATAAATAGTTTGAAGTAAGGATCTGTTCACACCAGCCACAACAATTCCCATTGGCTCTTTAAAAAAAAAAAAAAAAAAAACGAAAACAATTTTAACCATTAGTAATCTCCTTGGCCAAATCCCTTGTCCCTATATAATCCTGCAGGATGGAGACTCTTAATAAAGATCCGGATGCCTCACCTTGAGGCTGAACATGACATTTCTAGGTGAAGCACATCTCCCAGCAAGGATGTTAACATTGTTTCTCCCATCGAACATCTGGGAGGCATCCCCTAATGTGAGCCCGATGCTCCGACAGGCAGATGTGGGAAGGAGGAGGGCTAGGATGAAGGGAGCTCATGGGTATCCATGTGGCAGTTCCTCTCTTCGACCTCATCTTGCAAGCATTTGCCTTGGGGCTTCCAGCAGTTGCTGTTCCTAGAACCAAGGAATCTCACATCTGGGCAAGAGTTGACATAGCTGGACATCTCACAAGTGGGCTTCTTGTCGCATCTCATTGTGGGTGCATGAATCATCCGTGGGTGATGGACCTTGGGAGAAGGGGGAGCTTTGGGGTTTGTTTTTTAACACTTTTCTCTGTAAAAGTGGAAACACTGTATTTTCATTTTAATTTATGTTTGAAATTTATTTAGTTCATGAAGTAGGTCTGCACCTTCATCTTGGCATGTAAATGGCCAGGTGTCTGTCATGTATTTATATGTTGATTTTGTGTATATAGATGTGCAGGGGTCCCTCAGACTTGACCCCATTAGATCTGTGTAGTTAAGGATGGAAGGTGAAGATACTGACTGGTTCTTAGATATACCTCATTCGCCTGTGGGAAGAGAAGGGAAGCCTCTTCGGGTGAGTGAATGGCAAAGTGTCTGCCTTCTGGCTCCTCCTTCCCCTGCAGTCTTGGGAACGTGTGGAAGGAAGGAACTAAGAAGCAGCGAGGCCCAAGGAGCGAAGAAATCACAACAACTAGCTGCTCTGCATTGAGACTTTTCTGGGGCTATAATACACGGGATGTTAACCAAAGGAAACCAAAGACATCATTCAAGTGCATTCATTGCATGGAAATCATTATTCTTTATTCTGAGGGCAGTTGATAGTGTTTTCAAGCTCTCTGACAAGACAAATGGAAGCCTTAAACATGGTATTTAATCATGGATTACAAACCAAAATGAAGCAACGAAACAACTAATCGAACAAAACCTCAGGGGCGACATTTTTGGTGTATTTGTGCCCTCCTAGCAAATTTCACCTTGGGTTTGTCCTGCAAATATTTTATAAGGAGTGTTGTCCATTTGCTTCCCGAGGCCATGTTGGCATTTCTCTGCTGAGTTGTTTTTGTGTGTTTAGACACAGTATTTATTTCAAACCATTGGAAGGGATGAGAGTGGTATAAACACTTCCGTACTGGACTTTTCAACAGTGCAGTTCATTCTGAATCTGAAAGCCCTCTTTGGTCCTAAAATATGCACAGCCACAGGCATTGAACCTGGATACACGATAAAGAGGGACTGGTCTTGCAACTCTATTAAATGGGCTGCGAGGGCCAAAACAGAAAGGGGGAAAGAGACTTCTGGCTCAGTTGCACCCAACTTTTGCATGTTTTTCACACTTGTGCCAAGACCAGTGCCTGATTATCGGTTTTCATCTGCATTTATTGATCTAAAATGTGGGTGTTCTTTACTATAATGAAAGCCAAAAGCTATTTGTAGATGTGTGGGTCGCTAAAAGATGCCCATGAAATAGTGATGAATTATAACTTAAATTTGAACATTAGGCATTATCTATGAAATGGCACGGTTTTTAAATGATGAAATGACACGTGTTGTAAAGGTAGAACTATGTGTGTAATTATTAAAGATGTATTTTTGGTTTGCAGGAAGGCATGCTGAGAAATGCATTCTCTTTGTGTTCCCAGACAGTCCCTCGTGGCTGCTGCTTTTCTTGGTGTAAATACAGTGGGTCTCAATCATGGACAGGCATGCTGGGGAGTGGATTATTTCAAACCCTTGAGCACTCAGTCTAGGGAAGATTGTTGTCATTATGTATGATAAAGACTAGTCGAATTAACTCTGTGATGTTAACTAATAATAAATTTTAACGTTTTTCAATATCTAAGCCTACAGTCATCTTTGGGGCATATTAATACTTCTTGGTCAGTCTGGTGAATAATTTATGGGTTTCCTGACTTGGAGTATATGCGTTGGACAGCCATGCAGCCAAGGCTGATCCTATCTACTTCTCTTCCCAGAAACTCAGTCCCAATGGAACTGAAGGCAGTGTTCCTGGGCCATTTGCGAGCCCCAAGATTTCATGCACTACTGAAGAACCGTGCTGGCTCTGCTGTCTACTGTTTAAGTAGTTTGGCTGAGATAGCAAAACCCTTGGGACTCTGGCTGGTCTCTGTAGGCTGATAGGAGTTGTGTTCAGGATATATTTAGCCTCTTGTGAACATCTAAAAAGCACTTGCAGGGCTGGGTAGTAGGATTGAGTCATGGGGGAAGGTTCCAGGTTTGCATCCAAAGACCCTCCCGAGTGTGCTGGGCATGCTCATGCCCATGGCCCAGGCCTGGCTGAGATGGGGTGGATCTCAACAGTCCCTCTGTCTGTCTATCTGTCTGTCTCCCTCATGGAAGAAACAAATAAATGAACTTAAAGAAAAAAAAAAAAAGCCAGAACACTTGCTTTTGCCCTATCCCTACCTCCTCTGATAAACAAAACCAAATCTGGGGAGTATATTTCTCCAAAGTCCCTAACGATACCCATCAACATGGCTCT